GTCGGTTAAGGGACGTCGTGGATAAGATGTGCGGGGGGTCTCTCAGGCCTCATAGGATGGTTCTTCATCCGGATTTGGACGTGATTTTCCTCACGATGAGGGGCAAGGTCTTCGCTTATCTGTTGGTGAGCGGGGAGGTGGAGGAGGTCTGTGATCATGAGGGGGGAGCGTTGTTTGGTTACTCTCCTTGTTTTGATGAGAATTTGGACCTGTGAGATCGTTATGAGAGGGAAGAACGCACTAGGGGTGGCAAACGGGTCGGGGCGGGGCGGGGTTTCGCTTATCTTGGTGAGCGGGGAGGTGGAGGAGGTCTGTGATCATGAGGGGGGAGCGTTGTTTGGTTACTCTCCTTGTTTTGATGAGAAAATGGACCTGTGAGATCGTTATGAGAGGGAAGAACGCACTAGGGGTGGCAAACGGGTCCGACCCGACCCATATAACCCAAATGACCCGTTTAAGAACTTATGGTGTTTTTTCACCTCCAAAATACAAATCGTAACATAACATCAACGCCTCTGAGTTTGGTTGTTTTGTTGAGCCCATCAGTGTTGCTATCTATTCTGTTTAGGACTAATTCCATTGATATCTGATGGCATGGCCAATATCTTACCATCTTAAATATATATCATGAATATAATAAAATGTTATGATTTAAAATCGATCATGCATGTAAGAAAAATTGATAAACACATAAACTTAACCACACAATAGTTGACAGGAAAAGGATGAAAAAGCAACGCTTTGTACACTTAATCGTTTTTCAACACAAAAAAATGCTTCATCATTTACATTATGTATCACCAGCACGCATATGTAAACTTAACCAATGCTCTTCTCCCTACTAAAATGCAATTTCCTCCACAGCCTTCAATTTGGCACACCATACAAGAACCCATCACAATATTCACTATAATTCAAAACTCTCTACAAGCTAAAAAAGAAAGAACACAGACTATATGATGAATCTAAACTTTTCTCATTATTGCAGAGAAACCTTGTTTCATAAAGGAGCTGCACAAGTAGTTCTAACTGATTACACCGGCTCTTCCCCGCGACTGATTACACCGGCTACAATGCACGACCCTCCTCGCTCTTCCCTGCGACATCTGCAGGGATGTAATACATCAAAATGAAGCAGACAAAGAAAATAAATGCATTACTATTACAAATCAAGTGTTAGTTTATCTGCAATTTTTTTGAGCTGACATGCAAATTGGATGAAACAAGTGCTGTACTTTTCTTCATACACAATAAAAATCCAATTACTATTCCTAAGTAGCTATTTCTTAACCAAAACTGAAAATATTTTCATTTCGATCCTAACATTTGCTGCAGCAGCTCTATTTAACTCTTATGTACATGATATACATAAACTAGTGTTCGCTAAAAGAGCATATTACTCAAACCAATCAAAATTTAGACAAAAATTAACTTTTTGAAAAAGAATAGACAACAACATGATAGATTAAGAATACATTGTTTTTCTACCTCCATCTCTTCAAACTTCAGACTCCCCTTCCCCTCTTGAAAACAGAGAGCTAAGAAAAAGAGAAGACAAAAGCTGCTAATTTTCTTAACCGTTTCATTCTTTAAGTATCTTTTCATGTCAGAGACTTCTATTCAGAATGAATTCAAACATTATACACCATAATAAGATAACTTCACATTCTCACCGTTTTGGTATATCTTCAGGTATCTGGTTCCCTGGCTGTGAGAAGAAATGTTTGGCATTTTGAGCCACCTCTGCTTCCAGTATTGCTTCCAGCACGATATCTGATCCTTTAGGCTTACCTGGGCATTACATCAAAATCCAAGATTGCTTTAAGATGAGCATATGCAAGTAGTAAAAGTAGGGAGTGAAATAGAAAACAATAAATATATAAGACTAATATTAATTTCTGACACTTTTCTAGGACACTCTGTCGATGTCGTAATTTATGATTATTAAATACTTACGTCATACTAATTGTGTATTATTAACTATTAAGATATATATTTATCATCCATATATGTTAAGACCAAATTAATAGAAACAAATTGAAACAGAGATTCACACATAGCAAAGTAAATATGCTTCAGTATAATAGAGGAGATAGATTTGGTTGTTATATAGAAAGATGTATTTAGACCAATTCCCTGATCGATCGGACCTAGGTAAACATAATATCAAGTTTTGAAATATCAGCAAATACCAATAAATCAGCTGTACTTATCAGGAAATTAAGCACGTTGAACAGAACTGCCCAAAACAATTGATACTGTCAATATTAGCTAAAAAAGGACTAACAAATATTGCATTGGCTAATAACACCTAACATGAGTACGATTACATTTTACCATAGTTAATTTTATAATATCATATTAGGAAAACTGAAAAGAAATCAATCACAAGAAAACTTAAAATTAAACAAACTTATTTCATATGCTGATACTTCAACGCAAAAGTGATGAAACTGTCAAACTACTGCCACCAATACAAATAAGTGAGATTTTTAAAGGAGGGTTGATACGAAAAACTCCCTTCTCCATTGGCAAGTTTAACAGTAGCAGCACAACAGGCTTATTTGATGCAGGACCAACTGATTGATGAACATCTACAAATCTCTTAAGAAATGTGGTAGGCTTAGATCAAAGTTACTGATAGATTTGGCAATGAAAACCTTCTAAACTCGAATACATGTAACTAGAAAGTGATGATGCATCCTTTTGTAGACTACATGAGATCAAAGTTACTGATAGAACATAAATCAAAATTTCCTTCTTGGCGTACATCACACAATCTCAAGAGAGGTTTTTTTAGGCTGTTCTAAAACAAGAATGCCATACTATCATTAAGAAAGAG